CTGTGTACTGCAGTGTCTCAGTGTGGCCACTAGATGACAGGGTTTCGCCTGAAGATTGGATGTGTTGCCATCATGCAGACACATGCTCCTCATGACCTCTGCCAGATCAGTTACTGGAGGGGTTTCCCTTCAGCGTCATGATGCTGGTGTTTCACACAAATATGTTTCCCAAGGCATACGTGACTTCTTGTGTTCTCACGTCCACATGCAGCTGCTCCAGAGTCTTTCCAAGAGGAGTTTCCCAGTATGTCTCATCCAAGTGAAATCATATTAATGGTGTTGTTTTCATGGAGGCCTTTTGAGCAGATGATGACTCAAAATGAAAGCAACTTGATGAACCATTGTCTTCAATTTTTCCATTAAAATGGCCTATCCTTTTTTCACATACAGATGACCTTATCAAAATGGTCGCACAGATCTGCAAAAACAAAACAAAAATGCTGTATTTTGCCATTTTATGCCAGGCCAGTAGTTGTAAAGAAATATGATGTGCCTAAAGAAACACATATCACACATGCGCTTTTGTGTTTTAAAAGTTTGTCTTTTTTTAGGTCCACAAAACAGCATTGTCGTGTCAATAAATGGACAAAAAGTATTAAAAGTTTTTAGTTTTCTGAGGGAACAACGAATAACCTAATGAGGGACAGGTGTGAGAAATGACTCAAACCATTAATAACCATGACAACCTGCTTACATTGATAACCATCTTTAAAAAGAACCTCTCTTACCCGCTCTGCAGACACTCATATAAGTAAAGTTTGGAGGGGATGTTTCGTTTAGGACCGTTGCACTACAGCCAAGTTTCAGTTAGAAACATGAAATCCAGGTTGTATGTGGTTATTAAGTCGTTGACTAGAAGTGATTTATTTTTAAGTGAGCGGATGTTTAAAAGCGCTAACTTAATAGTCTGAAGTCGGCTGATCGCTGTGACTTTCAGAAATTTAATTTTGAGAAAAACGGGTTTAATTAACGGTCATCCTGCTAGCGGGATGACTGGCGCTCCCTTTTTTATTGCTTTTTTTCATATCACATATTTTAGTAATCATCATAGATTAGGAATCATTTGAAAGCTTACGAACTCAAAATTCATCCTGTGAAAACCGTTTTGAAATTGGACGATTGAGAGGCGAGCAAGGCCTTTTAACCCTCTGGGGTTGTTCGGCCCAAATGGACCCGAAGAATTTAAATAATTATTTTTTTTTAAATCACAGCTTCCTCGGAATGGTCGGAAATTTGGTGACTTTGTTGATATTTGGTATTTGAACACCCCAAAAAATTGGGGACAGGATGTGAGTAGTCTAAGTAGTTGTAAAAAAATATTCACACTTGGGGTGTTCGGGTCCAAATGGACCCGCATGGAAAATGAATGGGAAATTGGCAAAAATGTGAAAATACTGAGTTTTTTTTGTGTGTACAATCTACAAATCAGCCACGATCTTGAAAAAAAGCACACAACAGTGAAGGGGTGAATCTATAAAAACATCAAGAGTGCAAAACAGACACATCCACACACACACAAACACACTTTTATACACAAACACACCAAAAAATTCAGATGTGTTTTGCATTTTTAAAATGCTCAGTTTGTCCACCAGATGGCATCCATCTCATTTCAAAATTTGCTTTTGTGAGGCCTAGGCTTGACTCTAAAATGAAATACAGCTTTAATATATATATATATATATATTTAAATATTTTTTCTATTATGTTCAATGGGGGGAAATTTTGTCATAATTATTGCATTAATACTAATTATATTTTTTTTTATTTTTGAAATTTTCTCAAAACACCAAAAAAGAAAAGAAAAAATATTATAATATAATTATAATATAATATTATAATATAATATAAATCATGATTATTATTTTTTTTTAAATATGAATCCCGCCCTTTGGGTCTATTTGGACCCGAACACCCCGAGTGTGACTCTGAAACGAACAACCCCAGAGGGTTAAACGAGCAGCTTCAGACTCTGTTGTTCTCTTGTGCTCCGCATCACACCACACGATAACGCTGGATAAAAATAAATAAATAAAAACTTTCGGGCTGTTGTAGATCACCCAGGACTGGACTTTATTCTGTTATGTGATTTATTTTGATAGATGAAACTGTCGTTGTAGTGTTAAGAGAAGGAGAGCTATACGGGAGATAATGTTTTTTCCCCTGCGTGTTCTTAAAGAGAAATGCAGTCTTTTCAGCTGGACATTATAAATCGCTATTTTTCAGCACTAAATTAGTGAATTTTCCTAAGATATATTCAGAGATGATTAACAAGATGTTATAGTATAATAATATAATAAAAACCCAATTTTGAAGGTCTATATTTAGACCTTACTGGGTTTTCCAATACTTAATCACATCTATCTTTTTAATCTCTGCCTGTATTTAATCTCCTTAGATTAAATTACATTAGATTTGTTCGTTGAATAAAGACAAACCACAGCTTACAACCATCTCTTGACTACCAATGGTCCAAGTCCAAATCTTTTGAGTTTTTTTTTTTATTTTCCCAAAATAATATAACCAGAAAGACATAAAATATACACTCAGGCATACAAGTAAGTGTATAAGCGGACCACAAGCACTATTAACAGACACAATACCGCCGTCTTGACAAAACTATAAATGGTAAAATCATCATTAATCATCATTAAAGGAGAACTCCGGCGAACAATTCACCTTTGGTCTAATAAAACATCGGTACATAGTCAACCATTCTCTGAGATTTGTTTTCATGATAATCGAATGTAAAGAGTTTTATCTCTAAAAACTGTTTAGCGTATAATGCTAGTAATGGGGGCATATAATAAGTAAAAAGAAACCGCTAGTTTATACCCCTAACAAGGCTCAAAACAGCCCCACACTAACGCAGAAACATACTGAGGGTCCATACATACAAAACGAAGCATTGAGAACTTTGTCAGTGTACAGACCGTTTAATAAGAAGATACTTTATGAAGACAGTTCACTTCACGTATACAGACAGGAGCCATCTTAAAAAATAGTCTCGATAAGTCAAACCACGAATGTCGTGCTGAGTGATCTGAACTGTATGAAGTTCAGCGAACTTCTGAACTGTATGAACGGCGTTCGGGGATCGACTTATCGAGACTATTTTTTAAGATGGCTCCTGTCTGTATACATGAAGTGAACTGTCTTCATAAAGTTTCTTCTTATTAAACGGTCTGTACACTTACAAAGTTCTCAATGCTTCGTTTTGCATGTATGGAGCCTCATTATGTTTCTGTGTTAGTGTGGGGCTATTTTGAGCCTTGTTAGTGGTATAAACTAGCGGTTTCTTTTTACTTATTATATGCCCCCATTACTAGCATTATACGCTAAACAGTTTTTAGAGATAAAACTCTTTACATTCGATTATCATGAAAACAAAACTCAGAGAATGATTGACTAGGTACCGATGTTTTATTAGACCAAAGGTTCATTGTTCGCCGGAGTTCTCCTTTAATCATCAACACTCTTGACTAACCTGTTAAATGTGCAGGAGGCAATATCTGAGACACGCTGTTGATATTTAAAATCACCAAAACCAACACAACCCTAACCAGAAGGACCACAGCCTATTTTAATAGCCCCGCCCCCAAATTTACAAACATGCTATGCAACATAGGCTCCTCCACCTTAATGGGTGGCCACGCCCCTTAATACTATATGGCTACAAGTGTTTTGGTGCTCGGTCAGATCCACTTTCAACAGCGTTTCTCAGAAATTGCTTACTGCACCTTTAATTAGCACAGATAAGTAAAGTGTGTTATATAAAATAGCAGACCTGTCACAAAGCATTTTAAACCTGCTATAAACTGCAGGATCAAAGATATACTTAATGAATTATGAAAATAGGGCATTGCAATTGTCAATAGAGGAAAGCATGAAAGAAAAGGGGGTGCACTGACATTTTAAATGTCTCAGGCCTGCCTCGTTTTTAACATGACTCTTCTGTAATTCCCAACATCGCTGCAATAATATCAAGAGTGAATATATTCACGTGTGGCAATCCTCTGAGCTTCATCGGGCGTAGTAAAAACCAATGTTTCATCCTCAGCCGTACGGCAGGAATTGGACATCCATTTGGTTGTCAGCGAGATCGGCGGAGATGTCAGGATAGAGTCCTCGTTTATGCCTTCATGTTGTCTGACCCGTTCTATAGCGCTCTCTCCTTCTCCTGGAATTTATGCAAACGCACATCGAGTGGGCGAGGAGGAGGACCGTCCCGTGGGTTTGGGCACAAAGATTGATCCAATTTGGGAGATTTTTCTCACCGTTCTCTAGACTGCAGACTGATCCTAGAAGTCATCATCTCAATCCAGTCACGGCGTGTTTTGTCTTTCAGAGTTTTATATATCGCAGTGAAGTTATCGCCCATGGTTCTATGCCACACAAGAGATACTGGGAACTTGCCCAAGTCTCCATTAGACCATTCTCTGATTCTTGAAGAGAAACAATTGCCTCGTAGATCAAAGCTGAGGTGCTTTCTTTTCTCGTTCGCTCCTGCCTCATTGAGATGTGTTATTATCTGACTTCTTATGACCTCCCAGCACAGGTTCTCGTTGTGGGCTGGGCGTTTACTGCTGAGTTGTTGTACGTACTGTTTGATTTGTTCTTGCTATTGGAACACTAAACATGATTTAGATCACTTAAATAGCTCTATTAAAGCGTGTAATATCAGAAACATTCAGTAACGCGTCTTAACCTCACATTGCTAAAAAGGGAGAATGCTGATGTGTACTTCTTTTCTTAAGGGTAACAAACAACCTAGATGAAAACATATTAGTTTAAAGGCAGCAGAAGCATATTAGACTTTTGAATGAACTGCTTGCTAGTGTCCTAAAACAAAGATTTACTGTAAATGAAAGGCATTTTTAAAGCTTCTGTAGCAACTTATAATTTAGTTATATTCTTTTGTAAGTGATTTATTGGCCTGTGAGAGGTATGAAGTTTTCAGTTTCCATCCCTCGACCTTTTTTTCTCCCTTTGTTTTTCAGAAGTCGTTTCTTGAGGAGACAGTGAGGCGTGAGTGTGAAGAAAGGGAAGAACTGACAGCAGCGCTGACACTGGCCAAAGAACAGCTTCAGGAACTCAGACACTCCACCCTTAAACTTCATGAGAACCAGACACACGCCCGACTCTCCAGATCCACAGACCTCCCCGTCCCCAGAGTCAATCCCAGCCCTTTCCATCCTCCACGTGTGCCTGAGTGGCATTCTTCGAGCATGGGAAGAAGTGCGGCATCCTGGCATGGGTCATCCCGGCCGACACCCACCCTGCCCAAAATCAGCAAAGAGAGAGTCGCTTCGGTGAACGACCTGTGCAAAAGCTTGGGCAGGGTGAGGAGCAGACCGGACAAACTCTGACTCCCCCGAAAGACCCATAGGTGTGTGCTCAGTATTCCTTTCGGTGTCATGTCTGTTCATGTTTAGGTGTGTTTTGTGTAGTTTTATCGGTAACACTTTACAATACGGGTGGACTAATAAGCATTAACTAATGCACAGATAATACTGAATTAATGTGATTATCTAAGCTATTCATTAATGATTACCATGATTACCACATTAGGAACTAATTAAGAGTCTGTAAGGTTGATGTATTAGTTCATACATTAATAATGTAATTGTGGATTAATTCCATAATAACTCATTTTCTTTAACTAATAGTGTTAATTAATATGTTAATTACCAGAATGAGCCAAAGCCTTGTATTTCAACTTCCAGACAATATGACGGGTACACTTGGTACATGATTAATTACTTCATTGTTAGTGCAAATTAATGCGCAAATCACTAAATGACTAGTTAACAATGATGTGCCCCATCAAGTAAAGTCATAACATAATGATACCTTTGCAAATCATTAGCTAATGATTAATTAAAGCAGACAACTGGAAGTTGAAGTACATAGCTTTGACTCATTGTGGTAATTAACACATTCATTTACACTATTAGTTAATAAAATATGTTATTAAGGAAATAATACACAATGACGCATTGAATTAATAGCAATTCATGTATTACGTAATCTATTAATCATATAGACTCTTTATTAGTTGCTGATGCAGTAATCATTAATTAATGGTTTAGTTCTTCATTAGTTAAACACGAATTAATGCATATTAGTGCACCCGTATTGTAAAGTGTTACCGTTTTTTCGCAACTTTTAGCCCTCATGTTTCCATTGTGCCTGTTTGTGAGTTCTGTTCAAGTTTTGTCTGGTCAGTTCAAATCAAGTTCTGCTTACTTTAAAAGTCTTTCGATAAACTGCATTTGGGTTTTCGTCTCACCTCGCCTTCAGTGGATTTCCGTTAGGCTACACTAGGTCAGATGTCACCGATTAGAGAGGTCCTGATGATTGGCAGTCTCTCAGACCAGTGTTTCTCACAGAGAGAAGTGATTTACTGATTCAAGACTTTTATTTTGAAAGTCGTGTGGGAAAGATGACTTTTCTGACCAAAATGTATTTGAAATACACAAATACATTGTTGTGGAAATTTTGTACCTATCTCTTAAATAATAATTAAAGAACAAATGAAGATCTCGAAAGTCATAAGTATACATATTTATTTCTTGCAAGAAAGGCAGTTCACACACAGATTTTGATATGAGAAGGGCAAAAGTTTCTCACTTTACAGAACTTCAAGATCATCCTCCAAAATGTTCCACCTCCCCTTCTTATCTTCTGACTAAGGTCCTGCACGTACACAGTTTTTCGGTTGCTCTTATTTTAACACCTCTTATCAATGCATCTCCTCAGAAAACACATATGTCATTTCAAGAAAACCTAACCAGATAATGTCTGACCTCTACTGCACTCACATATATTTGTGCTTAATATAAATACCCTGCAGTTGAACTTCTGGTATACTAAACTGATATACTTAGTCTGACCCTTCCATGCTTGAATTATGATAACCTCAGACAGGATATTTTTGCTCTTAGGACCTTTTTTTTATACACATTTTTCAAAGAGATTTTCAGATGTCCACTTGAGTGGACGGCATGCATTTATGGTTTAAAATGAAGAAATACTGTATTATTTATTTATTTATTTGACAGGGACAATGCAAACAAACATAGTGTCAAGATCAAGCATGTCACTGAAGTGTTGCATATAAAGTTTATAGCTATAGCTAATTTTCAACTCCTGTCCCTGGAAGGGCTTTTATACACAATAAAATTTACATGATTAGCTACTTCAATAATAAAAATAATAATAATAATAATAATAATTTAAAAAAAAAATAATACTAATAATAAAAATACTAATAAGCATACATACATATCATATACAACTCTAATAATTACATGTAGTCAAAAATGAGTACAGTTTTGGTTTATTTTTAACCAATTTAACATATGTTATTAAACATAATTCAATGGAGTGTGTGTGTTTAACAAACCAATTAAAGGAGTAGTTCACTTTAAAAAAAAAAACTTTTGCTGATAATGAATAAGGGTCTTATCAAGCTAAACGATCGGTCATTTAAAAAATAAATAAAAATGTTTAAGTTTTATAAGCACAAATGCTCGCCTTGCTCTGTTCTGTGATGAGCGTTCGTGACTCTCCTGTTCATCAAAATGAACTCGAAGGGTCCTAGATAAGACCCTTATTCGTCGTCTGGTGTCGTTTAAAGCCCTTTAAAGCTGCACTGAAAAGAGAAAGTTGAGAAAGTAATTATCTGGTCTTCGATCAAGATATTTTAGGCATGTCTGCTCTGTTAGATAACTTTATGGGAGTCTGTGAGCTTTGTAACTTTGCAGATTGTACACATATACTAACAGATACATTACACACTTAAGGAAAAGGAAAACATTATCCAGCAGATGGAGGCAGAGCTGTTATCTAACAATACCTTTACCATCTGCTTGTGCTTTAGGTAGAACACACACACAGATTCTCACACATATTTTAGCCGCCCACAGATGTGCACACTCCCAAAATGTGCCGCCCCGACTGTAACATCACCCTTTCAACGGCTCATTTCCCACACAAACATTCCCTTTAAGTGAATTCTCTTAAACGCTTGCCCACATCCACCCACACGGTCACTTGGCTACACACACTCTCCTATTCTTCTCCTCGGATGGATTCTTCCTGCTTTTATGTCAAATAACTTTGATCTCTTTATCAATTTCTTTCCCTTTGATCTCTCTTATAATGAATTTCACTTCCTAAATCAAACTTAAAGGATACTTCACTTTAAAAAAACAAAACAAAAGTTGCTGTTAATTTCCTCACCCCCATGTCATCCAAGATGTCCATGTCTTTCTTTCTTCAGTCGAAAAGAAATTAAGGTTTTTGATGAAAACATTCCAGGATTTTTCTCCATATAATGGACTTCAATGGGAACCAAACGGTTCAAGGTCCAAAAGAGAGTTTCAGTGCAGCTTCAAACGACACCAGACGATGAATAAGGGTCTTATCTAGCGAAACGATCACTCATTTCAAAAATAAATAACAAAGTTTAAGATTTATAAGCACAAATGCTAGAGAACAGAGCAAGGCGAGAATTTGTGCTTATAAAACTTCAACTTTTTTATTTATTTTTGAAATGGCCGACCGTTTCGCTAGATAAGACCCTTATTCATCGCCTGGTGTCGTTTAAAGCCCTTTGAAGACATAAGCCATTAGCCAAAAAACTTCTTTAAAGATGAAATGAACTAATTTAATAACAGTAGATCTTTACAACAGAACTGAATCACCTCATCACTGCAGCTGAACAACATCATGCTCTTATTCAGCCACTTTTTCTGTTGAGGTATTTAGGCTGAGTCTACGTGCGTCTCATTTTTGGACAAGCATGATTGTTTATTTCAACCTACCAGTCATAAGTTCATGTTCATGTTAAAGCACGTGCTCTCTTCCAGCTAAACTCTTGAACCCTTACAAAAAATGAATGTGTGCTATACTTAATACAGTAAGTAGAATTTCTAATGTAATTAAGCTTTGCTTTTTTGGCTGAACTGTGTGTCCTGCAATCCTCCCCAGAATTCCTGCTAATCTGAACTCTTAACCTCTTTTAACGTGATGGAAGTCTTTAAATGAGTGCCAACCGAAATCACAGGGGAAGCATTTTGTATACCATCATTCTCGTAACACAGAAGACAGGAAGCCGAGAAGAAAACATTTTTGCATGATTGCATCACCTTTATGGAGCCAGACTGGCTCTTCATTGAACTTGTTTTGACATGTGACAACTTGTTTTTTTTTTTGGGACATTTAAACACAGCAGGAAAATATTCATCTTCATAAACGTCAGAAAGCACTTTAAAATGTGAGTGAAAAAGAGTGAACTTTGGATGGATCTGTGCTGATAATCAAAAAATACAGTATGCCTCAAAGTTAATAAAAACGCCAATCAGGACTTAATTTCTTGCAATTGCAACGTTATATCAATAATATTGCTTTATATCTCACAATTGCATTTTTATATCACAATTGTGTCATATTAATGACTTTATATCATGCTATGTGTATCTCAAATTGAAACTTTCAGCGTTTCAAAATTGTGATTATATCTCACAATTTTGGCTTTGTCTCATAATTATGACTTTAAATCTCACAATGGTAACATTGTTTCTCACGGTTTTCTTTTTTTTTTATCTTTGTCTCACAATTACCTGGTGTATTTTTACTAGGTGGAAACGAGCATCTATCATTAGTGATGACACGTGAATAAGTCATATGGATTAGAAAGTCCAGGACGTTTCCCTGCTTTTGGTCCGAGACGTTGGAATATGATTCAGCATCCGTGCGACAAATGGTTTGAAGAACGTTTGGATAGATGGATGGATGGACATGGTGAAGGTACTGTTTGATAACATCTCTGTCTCCATCTGCTGGTCTGGTGAAATCATTACAGTATCTCTTAATGAACCTCTCAGGATTTAAATATGGGTTTTAGAATTTGACATAATCAGCCTTTTACATTTTAACTCCCCTTACACTCCTAGTGTGACGAGAACCGAGAAATGTCAATATTTTAATAGTAGTTGGAAAGGAGTAGTTCACTTTAAAAAAAACTTTTACTGATAGTTTACTCACCCCCATGTCATCCATGTCTTTCTTTCTTCAGTCGAAAAGAAATTAAGGTTTTTGATGAAAACATTCCAGGATTTTTCTCCATATAATGGACTTCAATGGGAACCAAACGGTTCAAGGTCCAAAAGAGAGTTTCAGTGCAGCTTCAAACGACACCAGACGATGAATAAGGGTCTTATCTAGCGAAACGATCACTCATTTCAAAAATAAATAACAAAGTTTAAGATTTATAAGCACAAATGCTAGAGAACAGAGCAAGGCGAGAATTTGTGCTTATAAAACTTCAACTTTTTTATTTATTTTTGAAATGGCCGACCGTTTCGCTAGATAAGACCCTTATTCATCGCCTGGTGTCGTTTAAAGCCCTTTGAAGACATAAGCCATTAGCCAAAAAACTTCTTTAAAGATGAAATGAACTAATTTAATAACAGTAGATCTTTACAACAGAACTGAATCACCTCATCACTGCAGCTGAACAACATCATGCTCTTATTCAGCCACTTTTTCTGTTGAGGTATTTAGGCTGAGTCTACGTGCGTCTCATTTTTGGACAAGCATGATTGTTTATTTCAACCTACCAGTCATAAGTTCATGTTCATGTTAAAGCACGTGCTCTCTTCCAGCTAAACTCTTGAACCCTTACAAAAAATGAATGTGTGCTATACTTAATACAGTAAGTAGAATTTCTAATGTAATTAAGCTTTGCTTTTTTGGCTGAACTGTGTGTCCTGCAATCCTCCCCAGAATTCCTGCTAATCTGAACTCTTAACCTCTTTTAACGTGATGGAAGTCTTTAAATGAGTGCCAACCGAAATCACAGGGGAAGCATTTTGTATACCATCATTCTCGTAACACAGAAGACAGGAAGCCGAGAAGAAAACATTTTTGCATGATTGCATCACCTTTATAGAGCCAGACTGGCTCTTCATTGAACTTGTTTTGACATGTGTTTCTTTTTTTTTTTTGGGACATTTAAACACAGCAGGAAAATATTCATCTTCATTAACGTCAGAAAGCACTTTAAAATGTGAGTGAAAAAGAGTGAACTTTGGATGGATCTGTGCTGATAATCAAAAAATACAGTATGCCTCAAAGTTAATAAAAACGCCAATCAGGACTTAATTTCTTGCAATTGCAACGTTATATCAATAATATTGCTTTATATCTCACAATTGCATTTTTATATCACAATTGTGTCATATTAATGACTTTATATCATGCTATGTGTATCTCAAATTGAAACTTTCAGCGTTTCAAAATTGTGATTATATCTCACAATTTTGGCTTTGTCTCATAATTATGACTTTAAATGGCATATTTAAAATGGCACTTCACAATGGCAACATTGTTTCTCACGGTGTTCTTTTTTTTTTTATCTTTGTCTCACAATTACTTGGTGTATTTTTACTAGGTTGAAACGAGGATCTGTCATTAGTGATGATACATGAATAAGTGTCATATGGATTAGAAAGTCCAGGACGTTTCCCTGCTTTTGGTCCGAGACGTTGGAATATGATTCAGCATCCGTGCGACAAATGGTTTGAAGAACGTTTGGATAGATGGATGGATGGACATGGTGAAGGTACTGTTTGATAACATCTCTGTCTCCATCTGCTGGTCTAGTGAAATCATTACAGTATCTCTTAATGAACCTCTCAGGATTTAAATATGGGTTTTAGAATTTGACATAATCAGCCTTTTACATTTTAACTCCCCTTACACTCCTAGTGTGACGAGAACCGAGAAATGTCAATATTTTAATAGTAGTTGGAAAGGAGTAGTTCACTTTAAAAAAAACTCACCCCCATGTCATCCATGTCTTTCTTTCTTCAGTCGAAAAGAAATTAAGGTTTTTGATGATATACATATAATGGATGTCAATGGGGTCCAAACGGTTCAAGGTCCAAAAGAGAGTTTCAGTGCAGCTTCAAGGAGCTTTAAACGATTCAGACGATGAATAAGGGTCTTATCTAGCGAAATCGGTCATTTCAAAAATAAATAAAGCGAGCTGTTCGAACTCCTTCATCAAAATGAACAAATATTTTTTCGATTCATTTGGTTCATTCACCAAACGAAATGACTCAAAAAAAGGATTTGTTCATTTTGAACTGGAGAGTTGAACAGGAGAGTCACGAACGCGCATCACAGAACAGAGCAAGGCGAGCATTTGTGCTTATAAACTTAAACTTTGGTTAGTTTTCCAATCGTTTCGCTAGATAAGACCCTTATGCATTGCCTGGTGTCGTTTAAAGCCATTTAAAGCTCCGTTGAAACTCTCATTTGGACCTTGAACCGTTTGGTTCCCATTGAAGTCCATTATATGGAGAAAATCCTGGAATGTTATCATCAAAAACCTTAATTTCTTTTCGACTGAAGAAAGAAAGACATGGACATCTTGGATGACATGGGGGTGAGTAAATTATCAGCAAAAGTTTGTTTTTTTTAAAGTGAACTAATCCTTTAAAGGTTCTCTAAGCGATGTGGAGCCAAAACTTTTTTTGTCACATACATCAAACGTCTCCTCACTATCGGCTAGCTGCCTGTCCCCTAAACACACTGTAAAAAAACGCGGTCTCTGTTGACACCACAGGCTCCACAAACGGCAACAAAAACAATCATGTCTCACCCGGACCACGAAACCTAACAAACAGTGTTCCAGCCAATCACCGGCAAGAAGTATTTGAGGGTGGGTCTGGGGGGTTAGTGCGCGTGCACATGAAGGGTGTGTGTGTGTGAAGGAGAGCGAAGCATCAGAGGGAAGTTTGAAAAATGTCCGACACGACCAAAGAGACGTCGTTCTGAGGAACAAATTAAAAAGAAGAAGGAGTCGGATAAAGAACGTGCCAAGTTCCGAATTTACATCGGTAGCAAAACTTTTTAACGATGGCGAGAACTCCGGCGGCAGAAGGGCTTCCAGTCCGACATTCAGGTTTCTATGTTTTTGCTAGACAGGTGGGAAACATTAAATTGTTTTTTTTTTCTTCTAAATTGACGCTTATGTTCGCCAAACCCACACAAGGATATAATTAGCTAGAACTGCACGTTCACAATTATTATAGATGCGGAGGAGGGCGGGTCTAGCTAGCCTCCGATTTGTTTGAAAATATTCCGAAGGTCAACAACACCCAGGATCGCTCAGAGAACCTTTAAGAGATAAAATGTGAATTAACCGTTCATTTTTGTTTAGTGAGTGTGTATTTGTTCCTTTAAGAGCGCGCGTGGATGATATACACGTTTGATGCAGAGTTGTTATCTAACAATACCTTTACCGTGTCCATCCATCCATCCATCCATCTGCTTGTGCTTTAGGTAGAACACACACACACACACAGATTCTCACACGTATTTGAGCTGCCCACAGATATGCACACTCCCAAAATGTGCCGCCCCGACTGTAACAAACATTCTCTTTAAATGAATTCTCTTAAACGCTTGCCTACATCCACCCACACGGTCACTTGGCTACACACACTCTCCTATTCCTCTCCTCGGAGGGATTCTTCCTGCTTTTATCTTGAATAACTTTGATCTCTTTATCAATGTCTTTCCCTTTGATCTGCTTATCTCTCTTATAATGAATTTGTGGCATTAGCTGACGTGTGGGATGTCACTTCCTAAATCAAACTGAAATGATTACTTCACTTAAAGCTGCAGTCGGCAAGTTTGGCAGATTGAGTGGACTTTGGCAAAATTTTGAATGTTTATAACTCATATGGCCCCCCCCCCCCCCCCCCCTATCAGCGAATACTCTCCCACAGAGTTCGTGCTCGAGTGCTTGTATGCTGCCCTGGCTAATCTAGCAATATATTACAATTGCTAACGTCATAAATGAGCTTATGGTTTGTTATATAGTGTTCCGCCATCACTCTTCCTTACTGCGCGAACTTCAGGCGTGTGCATGTGATTGTAACGTGCGCGAGGGGTGGCGTGTGCCCGATCTGTGATTGACAGTCAGATCTCACACCCCCCTATTTATTTATTTATTTATTTATTTATTAAACAGGGACCATACAGTCAAACATAGTCACAATACAAAGCCTGTAGCTGATGCGCAGCATATAGAGTTTATAGCTAATGCTAATTTACAACTCCTGTCCCTGGTTGGGCATTTCTAAATACATTATCCCTTATGCTGCATTAGGGACATTTTTGGTCTTTTGCAGTTTAATTTCTTTGACCATTTTGGCTGTTTTAATGCAAATGGTGTGAAATTTGGCAAAATTGTGACTTTTTGGATACATGTAAAAAATGTGATCCCATTTTGCAAAATATGTATAACACACACTGTGTAGATCAAATAGTAACACTAAAGACCAAAAACGGCCCATTGAAACCCATTAAAACGTTGTTTAAATCTGAGGCTGTCAGTAATACATGAAACATGATTTTTGCACAAACATCCTTTCATTTTGAAGCAAAAGCATTATATTTGCATTATATAGTGTATTCCACCAGATGACGTCACTACATATTTATTCCCTATGGGTGGAAATGCACCTTATTTTAGGCAATAGGCAATGTTTAATAGGTGGCCATTTTTGGTCTCTAACGCGCTAAGTGGGATTTTTTGCAAAGTGGGACTGTGATAATCCAAATCTAAAGTTTTCTCTTTGCATTTAGTTTATTGAAAATAATTGAATTTTTGTGTTTTTTCCTCTTATACAAATCGATGGTTTCGCAAACAAAACTGGTAATTAAAGGGTTAAAATCCTGAAATTGAATACATTTTTGGTAGTTATGATGAGGACTGATGCTGGTTAA